GATGCAAAAAGATTAGTGGACTTAATGAAAGCCTATAGAAAAGGACATCTTCTGTTTCTCAACTCTATGGATACGTGGAAATAATCAGCCTTTCAACTTTTGATATGCATCGCATGTTTTTATATATATATATATATATTAGTAGGACAAAGTTTTAGTGTAAGTAAAGAAAAATAAGAGAGATTTGATTGGAAACTAAACATTTGATGTTTTCTTAATTATTTTTAATCATTAAACTAAAAGTTTGAAGATAATATGCATTACATATTGCTGATCAATGATTCTTAGCTTTTTTTGCAAGTATAGTAAGATGAATTTTCAGACAAATGCTTGATTTAAGCTAGCAATTATGTCTGCCTGATGTTTGATATATCAACTTTTGTATGTCTTGGTTTGGCTCAAGTGTCTAAAGTTATGGTGCTCAACGGAATACTAGGAAATTAAAGGGGAAAATGCTGGCTTTGGGGTCATTTTCCTACTTTGATCAGGTCGGTTAATCAAGCCACGTTTTTGCACCCATAGTTTTGTTATACCTGTAAGTAATTCGAGGTGTGGAAACGTGTTTTTCTTCTTAAAATCCAAAGGTGCATGATTGACAAGTTATTAGCAAACGTTTTTGTCTTTAAACTTGTGAAGGGAATGGAATATTTTTGTCATAAGAAAAATGAACATTTTATTACATAAAACCTGGAGGGCATGTTCTTTTACAAGAAATAGATCAATCCATTCCCCTCTCTTGAATTTCTTTTTCTTAGTATCTCTTTGTATCTCACTCTAACCCACTTGACAATGATCTCAAAAAAAAAAAAAAATGGTGCAGCCCCATCAGTCTCATTCAGTGAATGAACACGTGCATTCTCCTTATAATTATGATCATTTTCGTGGAAAAAGAAATATATTGATGCATGTTTAATTTCGATAGTACACGATGGATTTAATTCAAAACGATGATGTAATGATATGGTAAAAATTTATTCTTACTAATCATCCAAATGAAGCTGCAATTTCAATATACTGATCTACAGTAATAAGTAATAATTTCATCTGAATATAGAAACCAAACAATTTCATATGAATATTGTACACTTGCCAACTTAATTAACCAACAGTACTGTAAGAAAAAAACTCTCACAAATAAAAGACTAGACTCAAAATGATTTTTAGAATATATACATATACATATATATATATATATATGTGTGTGTCTCAAAAGATTACAAGAAAAATGTTTCAAGTTTTAGAAAACAAGGTTTGATTCTAAGCTTAATTATAGATTAATCTTCTCCCTTTTGGACACGTGATTATTGGCACGGAGCCCAAGAGGCGTGATGAATTTTTAAGTTTGGCAGACTCCGGCAGGTGGCCCATGGCGACAAAACATACTTCTCTTTTTCCTTTAAAGAAAGAGATCAGATCAGATCGCCATTGATCATATATGACCAGAAGCATTCGAGCATGCTTCAGGGCCTTGCTTTCACACCCAAGCCATTAAAATTGTTTATCCTGTCTGACGCTTTGTGTTAAAAAGGTCCGAGAGAATCTTGTTCATAATTAATAATAATTTATAGAATACTAATGTTTCTCTAACAGTCCGTTTGTCTGGTCAAATCAGCGCTACAGTTCTGTTGGTCATATATGCACTCTCCAATTTAAGTTTAGCCCTCTCAAAGTATTAGCAAGTCTTAGCATGTGATCCTTCTTTTTTACTTTCTTCACTCATTTCAGTGACTACATGGACTTTTTCAATTCCCACGTGTAATTACTTTATATATATAACTTGTAAATACCTATTTGTATCTAGATTCGATTAGGTCTATTTATATCCGGACTTGATTAGGCACATTTTATATTCGAATCTGATTAAGCTCATTTGTGTTTAAGTCCAGTTAGGTCTATTGATGTCTGGACTTAAGTAGATTGCTTATTATTATTATTATTATTGGTATTATTATTTTCATTTTTTTTAATTTTTTTTCCTTTTTGTCCGAATCTGCAAAAGGATAGAGAAATCTAAATTTGACCTGAATAAGAGATTTTTAATGTAAAGTCAATTGGTGAAATTAATTAGGATCAAATAAAAAATTTAGAATACCGTTTGGATAGAATCAATCTCATGATTCAAGCTTGGATTGATTATGGATTGATTCTACTCATTTCTTAAAAATTCTTCTAAGATTATTTATAAATTGGACCAATTCTACAGAAAGAGGACACACAAGAAACAGACAAAAAATTTGAAAGTCTGAAAAATTTGTTGGCATAAAGGGTTCTAGGAGTTTAATTATGAGATTTTAGGTTCAATCGGAAGTTAAGGATTCGATTTTAGATTTCTGGGTTAGAATTAAGGTTTTGGGAGGTTCTAGGAATAGTTTGGGCAAATTTTGGAAAAATTTGAAAAAAATTCGAAGAAATCTGGGTTTTTGATAAGAACATGAATTTTTCAACGAAATTTTTGACAAAGGTTGAAGTTTCCGATGAGATTCCGACAAGATTTTCAGAATCTGACATATTTTTTAGAAATCGGTGGATTTTTTAGTTTTCGATTGAATTTTTCAATGACATCTTCAAAAACTGGTAAAATTATCAGTTTCTAGTTGAATTTACAGGTGATCTTTTTAGAGAGAAGATAAAGAAAACTGAGGGTAGAAAGAGAGAGAGGCTCGGGTAATTATGAAGAAAAATGTTTAAGCTTGGCTTTTTATACTGCTGTCGAACGACGTCGTTTTGGATAAGCCAAGATCCGTGCATAGACCTGGTGACCTACATGTAGATCCGTGCCTCAACCCCACCAGATTGCAGGTTTTTCTTTTTTTATTTTTTTTATTTTTTTAATTTTTTTTTATTTATTAATTTTTTTTTTTGGTTTTATTTAAAAAAAGAATTATTTCTGCCACTGGTATTTCTGAAAGAAACAAAGAAGAAAAAATAATTCTACAAAAAAAATTTTCTACAAAAAAAAAATAATAATAATCCTTTCAATAAAAATATAAAAAAATATATGTTTTCAAATAAACAAAAAATAATTTTTATCCTCTAAACTATTAGAAGATTATTTTGAAGTGAGTTATACCAAACTATTAGGAGGTTTTACTAATTTTTTTGAGATAAAAATTAATAAATTCAATGACAAAGCCTCTTTAGAATGGAACATCAGTCTCTATGAATACTCATGATTTGAGAAAATTACTTTAAATTACTACCAAACTATTGAGATAATTTTAAGATTAATTTTTAATATTAAATTATCTAGTAATTCATAAAAATGATCAAAGCTTGGATAATTTGAAATCGAACTGGTACTATCATTTGGTTAGACGTTATGGAAGTGTTACAACCTTTCACGTATGTAATTGACTTCCGAATGTAATATTTGTTTTCGTATATCAGAATACATTCTAGGTAACCAATCATACATAAACAAAAAAATATTGATAACGACTCCTTTTAATCTATATCTAATAGTAGATTCACGAATTTATACGTTATGATATAACTGAAGCTATAGAATTCAAATTTTAATCATTACAATTAAAATTTTAATATTTTATTAATAGATTACAGTGATTTATAAGGAGCCCAAAAAATGGGTCTTCAAATTTGTTGATTAAGCCACAAATATTACTAGCCTCTTTCCATTGGACTTTGTTTGTCTCTTTGTCGATTAATAGATGTTATTTCTTATGCCCAACTTGAGGCTTGTGGACAGAAAGAATAGGTAAATATGGATCGTTAATTAAGTAGGCCCAGTGGGTAGAGATCTACGACAATGCCCATCATTTGAATGGCTTTTCAGCAAAATTAGAACGGCTAGATTGGGTCATGACTACCCCCAAGTGCTAGGACCTGACCAGACCGATCCAACCTACTGAAAGTCGGAATAGTTCCCCTCAAAGCTTCTTGATGTGGTTCAAGTATCAACAATAATGAAACAGAAACTATAGCTTATGTAATTAATCGTGCTTTGTTCAATAGAGCACATCTCAACTACCATTGCTGGGTCCTATAGACAATAATCATGAATTTTGACAAGATTTATCATCATATCAGTTAATGCTAACATAATTGATAGAAGACCAACATAGTTAATATCAAGATATATCACAATTTCTAGATATGGGAGGATCAAAATGTTATAATTTTACAAATATGAAGATCAACAAGTGACTTTCGATAATTTGAGGATCAATAAGGTAAAATGATATTTCGTTGAAATTTTAAAGACCAATTTTATTATTTTTAATTAATATCAAAACAATTCATAAAATTACGGAAAGGCTATATCCAAAAACATCTAATCATTTAAAGCTGTGTTCATCAATTGTTGATATAGCATCACTATCTACCCGTCCTATGCTATCTACTACTCTACATGCTGTGCAAAATTAGCTTTAATCTCTGAAAGTGAAACGATTGATCCAACTCTCCAAAGAGTCATATTAGCCTTTAACACAAGATTTGCAGACCCACATTTTCCAGGAAAGCAATTCAGGTCCATTAGATGTCTCGAGTAATTTTGTTGCAATCATCATTTCTTTATAGAACAGAAAAAATTTTTTTTTCTCAAATATCAATTAATCGCTAACAGAAAAAGATTTCATAATCCAGGGTCATTTTTATCAGGACTTGGGGCCAAATTGTATAAACAATTAAACATTCAGTTGATTGCTTTTTAAGATGGCCCCAATTATCAAGCAGACACTGAACACACACACATACATACATGTAAAATCGGTCAAACAAATGCCAAGTAACTGGCTTAGATATCCATAATTCAGATTCTACATAAGAATATGAACTAAACTGGAGGTAACCTGAAGAGAGCAAATCTCGTCAAATGTCAACTGGGTTTTGTACCGAAGGAAAAAAAAAAAAAAAACAACCATTAACTTGGTTTTCCTATAGAGTGATAATTGCTAAAGGGTATTAAATTGAACTTGACTCTAATTCCCCATGAAGGCAAAATGACAACTAAATCTCAACCACAATCTAGAAAAAAAAAAAAACAAAAGACTATAGGCTGCTAAGTGCTAAGAAGCGACACAGTGGCAATTTATTTTTCGTCCATCACTGATACTTGAGTATAGAAAACAGGCATCGAACGTGGGCACATGACTCGCCCCAGCACATTGCTATAACAAATTAAACGGACACCGCAATAAGAAAAGTACAAAAGCATTAAATTATCAAGCACGATGAAAAGAAAACAGTGGTAACACAATCAGTACAATAAAGTTTATGCAAGAATTTGCTCCAGGGGCTTGGCTTCGAGTTTGGACTTCTCCACCTCTTGCAACTGTTGCTGCTCCTTGGCCAGCTTCTTTAGCCTGGCAAGCTCAAGATCCTTGCTCATCTTCCTCCTGTACATCTCAGCAAATGTGATGGGCTCCTCAAGAATTGGTTCTTCCCCCTCTCTGATCTTGAGTGGATACACTGTTGCGTCGGGTGCTGGGTTTTGGAATGTGGCTATTGACAATCTGCTGCAATCTGAGTTCACCACAGCTTGGTGGTCAGCGTTCTTGAACCTTCCATTGCTCAGATACTGCTCAACACAAGTGATTGCAGTCATTTTTTTTTATTAGTCCACACTCCAAAATAACAATTTCCTATCTGCTAGAGATTTCCTACCTAACTAAATTATTCTTTTGCATGGGATCATTTGTCCTTTCAACCAATAATGGGAGAACATTGAAATGTACTTCAATTATTTAACATCCAATGAGATTTGTGAGAACCGAGTCAAGGGGGATTCTGTTATTTTTTCGTTAGTGTTTTTTCTTTTCAACTATAAGACACCCTTTCTACAAGCAGAAACATTTTGTTGCTATCTCTGAGACTCTGACCAAGACAAAAAGAAATGTTTTGTTGCTATTTATCACCCTTGAATGTAGCAAATAAGTCGACTTTAAGCATTGTAGTCGGTCACGTGCATCAAGTCATCGAACTATCTACCTGAACTACTCATTAATCATTATACTGATTACGGAAGTTGCTTCCAAAGCCTATAAAGTAAATCCTACAGTAAGCTTGGCTGTTTGGGATCACGTCAAGTTACATTGCTTGGATTAGTCATAGGACATCAATAGACATTTCAGTTCAATCTACTAATAGGGTAATTTCATTAGTTTCCTATCACCTACAGGCTTTTAGCTTCATAGTCAAGTAAATAAAACTTAGTTAGGCTAGAGGGTGTGAAGTTGAAGTTTTTAACTTACATGGCCATGATCTCCAAGGTTGACTACAAAGGCTCCTTCAACAGGTTGAACAGTGATCCAGGTCTTGCCGTTATCCCTGGTGGCCTGAAGCCCACCAACTTGGTCCTGAAGCAACAGTGTGATGGTCCCTGGGTCAGTGTGGCGCTTCAATCCGAGAGTGAGGTCAGGTTGTGGACATTTAGGGTAGAAATTAACCACCACTTTCTGATCCATGTCCACACAAGCCTTAGTCAAAGCCTCCTTCTCTAAGCCCATGGCCTCTGACAGCACTTCAAGAAGCTTGCAGGCTAGGCCCATCAGGTTCTCACTGTATTCCTTTGTCACTTCAATCCAACCCTCTGGCTTATCGGGCCACCTTGAATAGTCCCGGGTCTTAAGTGGGTAGGAAAAGTATGTCACAATCTCGCGCCAGTCTTGCACTGCTTCCCCCTGTAAAACAAAAAAATGATTCATGTCTCAATTATTTGTTGTTCAACTCTTCATTCGAGTCGTCACAAGATTTATCATTATTTTAATCAACCATGTGTGGAATTCACATGAATTTTCAACTTTCATACCCATAGCCAATGAAATATTTGCCCTGGAAGACTAGATAAAGTCAACAGCAATTGGCCTATGGCCATATTCATCAAAACAGGGCTAGTTAAAGGCAATACCTGAAGGTGACTGGAGACGATGAAACCACCCTTCTTGCCACCAGACATATCGAACCGAAGTTTCTCTTCAGCAGGCAAAGCAAAAAACTCTCTGGCAAGACGGGTCATCTCGGAAATGAGTTTGGTATCAACACTATGATCAATAACCTGGAATACGCCCCAATCCTCACAAGCCTCAACAATTTTCTTGCATATCTCAGCCCTCTTGCCATCAACATCATCGATACCAGCAAGAGAGATCACAGGGATTTCATTGCTGAATTGGTTGTAAGCAACCTTAGGACGCTCATCTTCATCACGAACAAAGCTTGCCTGTAAGGTTTTCTCTTCTGCAAGAGCCGTGAGAGTCGAAGGAGCCATTATTGTGGATGACTCTGAAACGTTCCCCTGCTTTAAAGGGTATGCGTTAAATGAGTGTTTTCTTACAAAGAAAGGTTAGTGGAGAAGCGCGTGATGCGATGTGGCTGTTTGGGTAAGGAAGGGGAGGTTTCTCTAAATATATAGGAGGGCTTTGGGAGGGTGAAAAGAGCCGGGCAGCTCTAACTACCCGTCATAGCTCGTGAGTAAACCGCACAGCCAGCCACCAGCCTTTCTTCTCTTTGTATTTTCCGCTTCTAGATTGGGGGATTTTGTAAACTATCTTTTTTTTTTTTTTAAACCTATGATCTTAATTTCAACGCTTCTTTTTATTTTTGAAAAAAAATTGTACCTTAATTATTGAATCAATATGAGATTTATACTCTTTAAAATTAAGGATATGATGGCAACATTTTATATCCTGTAACATAAACAAGGTCAGAACAGCAAATGGAGAGTTAGGTTAAGAAATTAGTAATATATAGAAATACATTTTTTATATGAAACCATGTATAAAAATATTTGTAAGGTGAAATTATTCACAAAACATAAAGTTAACAAGTGATTCGTTGTATAATGTAAAGCTTTTAAATTTCAATTATCAGAATTTAAATTTTAATCATATTTAAATATAAAAAAATTAAAAATTATATTAGAAAAAAATTTGGTTAAAATTTTTTAATATAGGAAAGGTGAATGGTCAAAGTATGAAATTAATACTATTATTAATTATAAAAAAAAAATTAATACTACCATTTAGCGGCTATGAATATATGATAACCTAAAAAAATAAATGTTTGATATATTCTTAGAAGGTCCCAATTCCCAACGCATACATATTCATATTAATATCTTTTAAAATTCTATTAATGGGTATCTTATAAGCATTTGTTTTACTTAAAAAAAAATTATATTCCCTTTAATACAATTTTCTCACCAAATAATACATAAATTGAAAAATCTTTTATAACTATCATTTTAACGAGTGCCTATAATATACATTTTTCTCTTTTTTTTCTTAATCTTGTTAACAGTAGCTTATTAGATAATTTCCATTTTCACAAAAAAGAAAAAATAATTGAGATATTTAAAAAATTTACTCTACTTTTTCATAGTTTATCAAATAAAGTTAAAAAATGTTATTTTACTTTTTTTGTCAAGTCATGAATGGTAGGGATATGTGGTATATCTACATGCCACATGGGTGTTTTATTTTTGTTTTATTCGTAATTCATGTGTAAGGTTGAAACTATGAATGCTAATAATAAATGAATGAATTGAAAAGTAATAGAAAAAATTTAAATGAATTAATTCAATTTTGTATTCTTTGAAAGTTTTTTTTTTAGTTTACTCTGAAACCAACTAAAGAAGAATAAAGATGGGATGGTCCAACTTTCATCCCTTTAAAATTACCCAAAGGAGAAAAGGTTGCAATTTTTAAGTTTAATGAAATGAGTATAAATACGAATGGTAATAAGAGAAGTAATAGAATTAGTTAGGAATTATATTAACCAGAAACATTAACTCTAATTGAAGAAGGATTGGTTTGGTTTGGTAACATATTGTTTTACATCTCACATGATTTTCACCTAACTTGTTTTGATCTGGCCTTGCATGTGCCCACCAACCTCTTTGCTTCATACAATATTTTATGTACTGGGGAAAAAAAAAGAAAGTAAGAATCTTTAGGGTTTTTTATACTATAGTTAAAGTTGGTTTGACCAAATGTTCATTTGACAATGGGAAATACAATACCGCTGGCCATCCCAGCTTCAAAAGAGAAGAAAAACATAAACTCAAAGTTTTGAGTTTTGATGGGAATTATTTTACTATCAACTTCATTTAGGAACAAACGATGGATATCAAAATTATCAATCAGTTTCACTCACCAATAACGATGAGATGAGCCCAAACACTATATATATATATTTTTTTGTTAGGCCTCTTTCAACTTCGTACCCCAATTTCAACTCCGGAAACAATGGCCATAGCCCTGATCCAACCCCATTCTGCTAATACAAACAAAAAATTACTCAAGTTTCCATTTGCACCCAAACGACACTCTTCACACCTTTTTTTTTTTTAAAAAAAAAAAATTACAAAAACTAGTTTTTTAACCGTGGCACGGAATTTGTTTATTATTTTTCATAATTTAAAATGATTTTTTATTGACCTTAATTTTTTTGTATTACTTTAATAAAAGAATATGCAAACTTTTATTGATTTATTATATATGCATTCATAAAGGTTTATACATATTAAATAACAGTTTATACATATTGTGATACTCTTTTAAAGTCAAAGCTTTTGCAAAATTTCAAAGATTTTCAAAATTTTTCTTTTTTATGAAAAAATTATTATTTTTAATTTATTTACTAAACAATGAAATTTTTGCCATTCGTTTTTCCGTTTGATCAAAAAAGTAAAATTCAATTTTAAATAATCAAGATTTTTATTTTTGGTTAATATATTTGTTTAAGTGTTAGAAATGTTGTTATTTACATTTTTGGATTCTTCACGTAATGTTGATATAATTTTTTTAGGGTTTATATTCTTTCTATATTCTATTGTACTCTTAATTGTGGTTGATATTTATAACTATTTACTACTTTTAACAAAACTTTATTTTGGCTTATTAAAAAAAAATCAAGATTAATAATTGTTTATATGTTGATATATATATATATATAATATATATATCATTTGATTAAATTGTGAAAGACATTTATATTAGCATGATATTCTTAAACTATTAAATCTTATAAAGATAAACAAAAAAATAAACCATCAAATAATAATAATAATAATAATAATTTTTTAAATATATTTGATTGAACTACTAAACATAATTATTAATTTGGTCATAGCCATTTACTTTTTATTAGTTCTTATTTTTTACATATGTACTTTAAGATACATAATTGTTTTTTATTAGAATATAAACCAAATATACAAGTTGAGAATGTATATATAATTTAGATCTCTTATAATTTTATATAGCAAATATTTAGTTTAATTATATATATATATATATATATAAACATATGAACCAACTTTTTTTAGAATAAATCCAATCTAAGTGTATATATCATATAATGCAAATAAAACTAAATAAAAGGTTTGAAAAAAACAAATAAATAGAGGAAAAATAGAAAAAAGAAATAAAATATGAAAAAAAGGTAATGAACTATACGTACCAAACCAAACATGCACTCATTTTCCTTTCATTATTGAAATATAAGAAAAACAAAAACTAAAAATAAAAAATAAAGAAATAAAAGAATAACAAAGGCATAAAATGATTTACTTATTTATGAGTATGACGTGGTTATTATTCTTTTTAACTTTTGCCCATTCTTATCAAAACCTATAAACCATAATTGTCAAATAAAAGAAAAATTTAAGCTTCAATTTCTAATTCTAATAGTAACAAACAAAATAACATTGGTTAGGAGGTGAAACTCTCACTTTATAAGCTCTTTATTTTTATTTTGAGATTTTGATTTTAGCAAATAAAATTTTATTAAGCTTACACACACATATATACATATATATATATATATAGAGAGAGAGCCATGATTAAATTTGAAAAGAAATGATAAATTATGATTTAATATATTTAAATTTAAAATTTATGTAAAATTTTCAATCTTTGATAGAATTTGATTTGAAGTTAAATAGTTATAAAAAAAATTAAATTTGTACAATTTATTAAATAAATTTATTTGACAGTAGATAAAAGTTTATTAAACCTATATATATTTGAAATTATGGTTAAATTAAAAAAGAAAGGTAATTTATAATTTACTATATTTGAATTTAAAATTTATATAAAATTTTTAATATTTTTATATATTTTGATTTGAATTTAAATAGTTATCCAAATATATTAAATTTAAATAATTTATTAAATAGAGTTACTTGATAAAAAATATAATATAAATATTATCTTACGTGTCTTAAGGAGAGACTATTCACATAAGCATCAATGTCAGTACATCTTATCCGATAACTTTATATCTTGTAATATAATATATATATATATATATATTAGATATCTATAAATGAAATTACTTAATTAATTTTTAACAAATTATCTTTCAGTCTTTTATACATCTATATTTACTTCTTCTCTATAAGTTTTTAGATTTGTATTTTCTTAAGCTTCTACAAATATCCGAAAATACAAACCCGAAAGCTTTTAAAAGATTTTACAAAGCTTTCAGTAAACTTCCAGGCTTGCATTTCCAAAATTCACAATTTCAGGCATAATATCTTATTCAAGATTTCAATTTATTCAACCTTTTAACCAAAATCTAACAAAATTAAAAGCAACTTATTTCTAAATTTAAGTTTGATGACTTAATTAACTCTAAAACTTGTGATTTTAGGGTAATTTTTGGGTAAGGGTTTGAGGGGTTAGATTAAATTAAAAATGGATAAGGAATTGAGAAAATGGATATGAAGGGTGTTGAGGGAAATAAAAAAAAATGTGTTTAATGGATGTAATGAGTAAAAATTAGTTTTTAAATTTTGAATTTGAGGTGTAAATAGTAATTGAGTTGTAGTTTGAGTTTTAAGGATGTAAATAGAAGTTCTTAAAAATTACAATCGTAATAGGCTAAAATAACAAAAAACTTGTAAATTCTATCACTTTACTTAAATAAGCTATTATATTTTTATTGCATTTAAATAAGTTTTAATTTTTAATTTGCACCTAAATAAGCCCTTAAACTTTAATTTGTATCTAAATAAATCTTTACCTTTAATTTGCACTTAAATAAGCCCTTAATGTAAATCAATTTCTTATTTGAAATAAAGGTTTATTTAAATACATATCAAACAATAAGAGTTTCTTTGAATATAAGGTTAAAAAGTTATAATTAGAACTCTAATTACTCAAAATTGTCCTATTTTAGTTCTTCTGTTTATGAAACTATCTAAATTAACAGTAAATACCAATTGACATAGTGTGATGATGTCAACTACCTTTTCACGTAACAGATAAGAGATCAAAATAGAATTCTTTCAAAGTTTAGGAACCAAAGATGAAACTATATCAAAATTTTATATATATTTCATACATGTCTTATAAAAATATTAAATTTAAAATTATATTTTCATATTTTTTATTATAATATAACTTATTAGATAGATTTTGTTTTAAATAGAAAGTAGATATTCAAAACTTAAAATTAAGTTAAAATTTTTAAATTTCTTTTTTAAAAATTTAATAAATTAAAAATTTTATTAAAATATTATTTTACTCATAAGTTA